TAATTAAAACTAGTTACAATTAATTGAATTCTCAATATCAGAAGTTTGCGTTCACTAGCTAAAATAGAATTTACGATATCATGAATGGGCATCATAACTAGTTACAACTGAGTTTCTGATAAAGAATTTGCATTCTAACTAGTTAGAATAGAATTTGTGGTAAACTCTACAAAATAATTCATTTTAGGGGGCAGCGTGTGGCTCAGTGGGCTAAGCCTGAGTTTGCTGGTGTTGACTTGAGCTCGCAGATGGACAGATATTCCATAATATGAGTGATACATAAAGATATTGGTTCCTCCCCAGTGAGACAAGCGCTGACACGCCCTTGCTTGGAAAGTAGATAAGATCACCAGTATGTAAACGATCCTCGTCATTACAGTACCTATAAGTAATTTAATCATGTATAAAATAGAGCAAATAAAGACAGAACAGAATCTCACCCGGCTGAATGATGAAGGACATCACCATTAAAAGACGCTGGGTGTGGCTCAGTGGGCTACGCCTGTGTGTCTGTAATCAGAGGGTTGCCGGTTCAAACCCCCCAGCTCCCTGGGTGCCGCAACGGGAGGCTGCCCTGTGCAGCCTACAAAGAGCAAGTTGAGGGAGGTGTAAAAGCAATTTGTATTATGATCTGTATTATTAATTGAAGTTATGATGGCTCACCATAAACGACACTCTTTAACATGGATACTACACGCTATTCTATCTATGAAAGAGTAAAAAGTGAGAAGTGCACTATAGGCCTACCTGGGGCGACTGCAGAGCCAGTTAGGCAACTTAGGTTATGGCCTGGGGCACCACTGGCCGTGTGTCTAGTACCTTCTTCATGTATCCCGTTTCTTATTCCTTTCGTATTAAGTCTGAACGGTCCTAAACGCCTTGACGTTCCGGTCGAAAAAAATATATCAATATTTTAGTATGGATCCGCACATCCAGGCCAATCGGGAGAATTCCTGGGGGGCGCTTAGCTGTTGTGTTCAACTTGACAAGCTTCTTCTTACTAGAAATTCTTACTAGTCTTACTAGTAAAGATGCAATTTTTACTAGTAAGAGTATAAATGAAATATCTATAGGCCTAATGCAATTCTTACTAGTAAGAATGATTGTTTTTTATGTAATTTCAATATGACTTTTCACTAGTTGAATTTAGGATATGTGAGGCAAAAATATAATGGATGTCAATGGGAATATATGACTAGTAAAAATTGAATTATAGAGCTCTGTAATTCTTATTAGTCAGAATTGCATTGTAGATATCTTTAACCTTATTACTAGTAAAAAATAACATTCTTACTAGTAAGAATGCAATTTTCACTAGTAAGAATTAAGTTATGATGTATAAGCCTTATACTAATGTGACAATTTGTCTTGCCATAGCAGTGCATGCTTGCACAGGTGCTGCAGCTGATCGCTTGCTATTGCTAATCACTGGAAACCTCTCAAGCGATGGATGATAGAAAAAGGCCGGGTGGGACAGAAAAACTTAAGTGCGGAATTTCTTTCTATAGGACTGCAATATATACCAATGTTTCCTTTCCATATACTTTTACATATTCATTTGACATTAAGAATTCCACAATACAAAGAGTTGATACTTTGTACTCATACAGTATGTTGATATTTGCATTTAAAACCATACCACCAAGAATTTTACAGAATAGTGCATTATAGATCATAGTCAATATTGTCGTTTCATTTTTATATTTGACTTATAGTACTTTTTGACCATGCAAATTGCTGGTTCATATGAGTGAAATTTCTTTGCTTACACAGTTCAGTAAGTTATTACTTATTTTCTTCTTGAAATGTCAGGATAGAAGCACTTCAGCTGTGGCATCATTTATCAAAGACCACCTAAACGAAGACAAAATGGCCCGGGCTGGAATTTGGCATAAACCCCCCCAGGCTGAAAATGAATCCCACTCCGTGCTTACGCACTCCCCTATTGTACACTAAGGCTGGGTTGCAACGACGTGGATTAAATGAATCCTGGTTTAGACTTAATCTACGGTTAGTAAATCTAGGTTTAAACTGGTTTTTAATTAATCAGAGATGCGTTGCACATCTTAAATTTAACCATGGATTAGTTAAACCAGTTTAAACTATGATTAAAATTGGACTAATTTAGCTGCAGTGTCCGCCGTGATGGATTCCGAGGAAATGTGAACAAATTCATGATACATCTTAGGCTAAATAAATATGGTCCTAAATAAAGTTGACGCAAATGTCTCGTATTTATTATTTTTAATATTTGTTTTACCATTACCGCTGGTGTTAACCCTGCGCTCTGTTGGAGTAAGCCATCTCCACCGAGTCCGTGTATGAGACTTTATAGGCCCTCCGGGGTGTCCCCCCCCCTTCTCGGTACTTTTCCGATATTTTGACATTTGCTCTAGTTAGTCAGTGAGTACATGTCTCCCCCCCCCCCTTTTATGTTAAGCAAAAGTTAAAATAAGTATTGCTTATAGGATCTGTTCCTGTTTTCTAGCTGTCTGGGACGAGGTCACCCTGTCCTGCTCGCATACCTTCAGTTCCTGATTTCTGTTAGCTGCATTATTTTAGAATCAACCCCCTCCTTTCATCATGCCCTGCTTTAAGCTATATTCTCCTTTTCCTCTATTCATTGTATGTTCTTTATAATTCTATTGAATCCCACAGCTCCGTATGATACAGGCAGTTATTTTTTAGGTACTGAGGGATCGATCACGATCAAAATGCGGCACAGCCTGTTATTTATATTTTACTTACATGACCTGCGCCATGTTCATGATTCAAATTAGATTTGCCCATCAATCCTTTGTTTTCCAGAGAATAGAAAATGGTGTAACGTTATCCTGCTAATAGGCGCTGGCAAATTGCAGGTGTTATGTGTTCTGTCGAAATATATGCTGCCTTGTCGAAAAATGCTACCGTAGTGCTAATCGATAGCCCTAACCCTAACCCCCCAAAAACCCGTAAAACCCTAACCTCCAAAAAACCCCTAAAACCCTAACCCCCAAAAAACCCGTAAAACCCTAACCCCCCAAAAACCCCTAAAAGCACAACTCGTCAGAACACCGGCATGCATTCTACGGTAGGGATGCCTTTTTCGGCAGGGATGCGTTTTTTGGCATAACACCGGTGTTCTGTCGATATATGCTGCCTTGTCGAAAAATGCTACTGTAGTGCTAATAGATAGCCCTAACCCTAACTCTTACCCTAAGCCTAACCCTAACCCCCAAAAACCCCTAAAACCCTTACCTTAACCCTAACCCCTAAAACCTAACCCTAATCCCAAGACGGTGGAACTGCACATGTGCAGAAAGGCTCGATAGCACGTCTCGATAGGTAGTATTTTTCGACAGAACACCTGCACCGGTGATATTAGTTACAAGAATATTAGTTAGCGATCGAATTATCCAATGCAGACACGAGCAAAAAACGTATTAATTTATATATTAAATGTAATTGGGGAACAAAAATAATTCCGTCTGCTTTTGGACTAAAGTGTAACTTCCATGGTAGCACCAGTGCTTGAGGTCAACCAATCAGTAAGGTATGGCGGGGCGAAAAAGCCTATTCCTGCAGAACTCCAAAAAGATCCCCGTCAACCATCTGATAATTCCCTATAGCATAAAAATGCAAAGTTACTAGGAGCTGGATATGTCGAGGTACAGCGGAGTTCCTCTCACTTCCATGCATGATAGCTGGTCCAACCTTTCCACTGAGAGCAGGCGGGTCAGAAGCATTTTGAATGTGGGGCACACACACAGGCATAAAACGAATATTTTATGTTAAATATGGGGGGGTCCAAATGAATAATTTTGAAATGTGAGGGGGACACGTCCCACTGAGAGGTATACTGTATGATGCACTCTTTTGTAAATCGATGCCGCATGGCAACTCACTATTGCTTTAAAAAAATCAATTGGGTTTATTTTCCTACATGGGATTATTTCTTCTGATCCCACCCAACAATGAAATGCAGTCATGTTTTAAATAAAACTAAAACAGACCTAACATAAACCTCCTCGAGGGCTGGTTTAAATATGACTGCTAATCCAGCTTTATACTTGATTTAAATTCACTGGTGCAACAGACTTGAATTTAATCTAGGTTTGAGTGGAAATTAAACTAAGATTAACAAAGGTTTAGATTTAACCAAGATGAATTGTAAACTAAATTTAAACTAGGTTTAAACTTTGGTGCAACAGGATTAGTAGATAAATCTTTATTTAATCCAGTTTAAAAGTTAAACCATGTTGGTGCAACCCAGCCTAAGTGTCAGCAAACCTTTCCGGCATCGATGCACAGGAAGATCCTTAAATGGCAGCCCTTTAAGTAGCCATAAACCCAAGACAGTTGCCCACTAGTTTCAGTATTAGGCCTGAAGTCTCATTTACAAAATGACTGGTTGGCTCACAGTGTAAAACCAGTGGTAATTCTCAACCATTTTAACTGGGGGGGAGGGGTGACTGTGGTCAGTGGTTCTCTTAGGGGGGCCTAATGCAATTTACCTTAATGTCCTCCTAGTATTATTTCAACACCAGATTGAGATTAAGATACAAAAGACAATCATGAAGACCTATGTTATTTATGCAGTATGTTGCAGTCACATTTAATAGTTTTTACAAATATGTAACTCACTGATTTCTTCGACTGTCTTGCTTCCACAAGCTTGATTACTTTTTTGTTAGTTTCAATGTAAATGTAATTACATATATTGTTATACAACAGTAGTAATAATGATAATACATTTATATCAGACCCAAGTAGCATACATATTTAGGGGGGCCACGGGGGGGGCAAGCATGTTGTCACAGGGGAACTAGCCCCCACCCCACCTCACCCATATCTGCCACTATATAAAAAGAGAGTAAATTACACCACTGCCCAAGGGTGTGAATCACTGGGTAGTACAACCCCCCAGGAATCAAAACCAGCCAATGCAAACCCCTAGGTGGAGACCTGAACCCCCCCGAAAGCACAACCCAAAGTTACGACACGAGTCCAAATCCCTTCAGATCCAGTGAATACTGACAATGTTGTGTGTGTGCAGAATAGTGACCGGAGACGGTCCATCTGTCTATGCGGCAGGGCACATAAAGCAACACCCAGTCACCTTATCACCGGAAGAGAAGAACCTCGAATGAGCCGGAAAGGGAGTGGAAGGACACGAACCACAGCAGATAAACATGTGAAAAAAGCAGCCAAAAAAAAAAAAGTGTTTCCGGTTGCATAGTAGTTTAGTGAAATGACAAAATTAAGCCTTAAAATTCCACTGGTATTAAATAGATAAATTTATAGCAAATTTGTTTTACAGTAAAAGTACCCAATAAATCTTAGCAACAAAATTAGGATGCAGGTTAACCTTTCACAAAAATTGCATTGACAAAAAGGAAGCTATTTTAATATATGTAACAAAAGCAACAATGAAGTTGTTTTATAACTTAGCTGAACTTCACAGCTAGATTTCTTCAGTGCCTCAGTGGAACCAATTACATCACTGGGCTATTTTCACAATGACTCTCTTACCATGACAACTGCATAAATTAATGTTTCTTCCTGTCCAGAACAGGACCTGACCAGCTGGGAGGAGCTCTGGAAGTTGGCTTAAGAGTGTCAGCAAGTTTCCCTGTCAGGGCGAATTATAAAACCAGTACCTGCGTAGACTTGCGTACCATCCACCCATCCATTGTTCTGGTCAGGAGCCCATCCCAGGCAGCACAAGGCAGAAGGCAAAGACCACTCTGGTTGGAATGCCAGTAAAAATATATTCAATGGTCACCTGCGTCCTGGTCTGTTTGACTATCTTCTCCTTGCTCTTCCTCCACTTCAATCTGAATTATGACATTGTGAGTGCCCCAAAACATAGTTTCAACATCAGCATCTTGATCTGGTATTGGCCATTTGGGCGCTCTTACAGCCTAGCCGGTGACATCTGTTGGGATATGTACCGCATCCCTGGCTGCCACCTTCATGACAACCACTTGCTGTTCAGCCACTCTGACATCGTAGTCTTCCACCACCATGAGCTGAAGACCCACCAGCTGCACCTACCTCTGCACCTCCACCGTCCAGCTAACCAGAAGTGGCTCTGGCTGTCATTGGAGTCTCCGGCCTCCAACGGAAACCTGGCCTCCTACAATGGTCTGTTCAACTGGACCATGAGCTACCGCCGCGATGCCGACATCTTCATACCCTACGGAGAACTGGTTTCGAAGATGCATGCTAAGGATGATGAGATCAATGCCTTCCATGAGAACAAATCTTCACTGGCCTGTTGGGTGATCAGCAACTACAATCCTCAACAGGCAAGGGTTAAGGTCATCCAGAAACTCATGAAAATAATTAACCTGGACCTTTATGGGTATAGCTTCAAAAGGCCACTTCCACATGAAAAGCTTCTGCCGACCATCTCCCAATGCCACTTCTACTTGGCTTTTGAAAATGCACAATACAAAGACTACATCACTGAGAAGCTGTGGCGAAACTCTTTTCAGGCAGGTGCAGTGCCGGTGGTCTTGGGTCCTCCACGAGAAAACTATGAGGCCATGGTGCCTCACGACTCCTTCATCCATGTAAATGACTTCAAGACTGTGGAGGAGCTGGCAGAATACCTCAACCAGACAACGGCAAACCCAATAAGGTATAGGTCGTACTTTAAATGGCACCGCAACCACACCGTGAAGCTCTATACTGACTGGAGGGAGAGACTGTGCAAGATTTGCACAGTTTACCACAAGTTGCCACCCAAGAAGATCTACCAAGATCTACAAGGGTGGGCCAACAAGTAGCATTTTATCAGATCTGCAATTCAAAAGCTGGCTGTGGTGGCTCAATGGCAAGCAGTGTACTCATATCTCCAGAGTTAAGGGGTTCAAATCCTACCACTGAGTAGTGAATTTGCCTAGATTTCCTTGTTACCTCAAAATTGCATAAAACTTCAGAATCTTTAAAATGCGAATCATTTTGAGCACTGGTCATAGGCATATAGTTTTCAGAAAAATACAGAAGCACCGAAAACCAAGACTGAAACCGGTAATCAGAGGCACGCGACACTACCATGCAGTGTTGTGGAGAAGGCTTGACACACAGGTTCAGAAATGACTCTGCATGGTTTACCACAAACCAGCTAAGCACACAGTAACCTGCAGTAGAGGGAAGCCAGAAAATAGAAACGTCCTAGTCGGTTGAGGTGAAACCCAACAGTTTTTAAACAGCATATGCACTTTAACGGACAAAAACATCACAGAACATTTTAGTCATGGCAGCATTTTTTTCAAATTTTTACAGTATATCGATATATTTTCAAAACAAGATTTAGGATGACAGTTTATACAGATATTTTACCATGCAGAAAAATTAGGACTCAAGATTTTTTTAGAGAGACTAATAGCATTCCTTCCTGCGGGAGAGTTTACATGTTGAACAATCTCAGAATACACAGCTAAAATCAAACCATGCTGGTCTTTCAAGGGGGAACTTGGAGAGGAAGGGTTAGGGACCACTGACCCTTTGTTCATTTCATGTTAAAACGTTGCCAAACAGTTGACGTGTTTAAAATACTGCAGTGTGCAGTATTTGTTTTATTTTGTTGAAGGCTAGTATATTAGAATGATCTTTCCAGTTAAGCACTTTCAATGATTACACAAGTCAACAGGTCATTTTCATCTCAAAGAAATTTATGTGGATTGTGCAGGGTTTTCGCGGCGATTTCAAATCCGTGTTTAGTTTTTCTCTAACCCATCGAGTTTTTGTGATGAAGTAAATGATATATTGTATAATATTTGGTGTAATTAGCCTAAGCATATTAGATTTAATAACAGTTGTCTGTATAATTTACACTACAGACAGCATTGACAGATTTATTTCAGTGGGCCTCATACCTAGAAATTGTGTCAATCATCCAGACAGTTTCCGGTATATGTGTGTGGTTCATTCACGACAAAAGTACAACGGTCAAATAATTGCTGTAGGTCTTAAGATGTACAGCTAGTACTTCGGTTGTCCGCCAAATGACCAGGATTGGTCGTGGGCTCCGCCTGTCATCTGTACCAGTTGGTCCAATGGATTGCGTGACTGGCTAAATCGGGAAAGGTAGCGACACCATTTGCAATCCCACTGGTGTGAGCCGGGAACAAGCAGTGTCCAGTTTCTGTCTCTGGTTGATCCACATAAATCTTGACACATCTCCATATCAAGCTATGCTTGAACAACAACCTTGAAGGGACCATGTGTAAAAAGAACTCACAAGGTTTTCAGTTCCTTGAGAAGTTTCTGAAAACCAGCACTGCAAACCTGAAGAAAGGGATATGTATAGTTTCCCAGATCAGGTCTGTTTTGCGGAATGAAGGTCTTAATTTCTCAGGAAGCTTGGGAGGTATGCAAGAGGCTCTGCAGAAACTGAGTAGCCATAAGCCTCCTGCATACATGGAAGGTGATCAGGATCTGCTTGAGTCATACCAGAAACTGGGGTGTCACATGTCAATGAAAATGCACACCTTTCACTCCCACGGTAAGTGATAAGCAAGAACGTTTGCACCAGGACATTCGCTTAATGGAGCATCGCTACCAAGCTTTCTGGACTGAGTGTACGATGGCAGACTGATGCTGAATGCTCTACAGACAGTGTACACAAGATTACACACTTAGAATTTTTGAAGAAATAGTGGCAGCTGACTTTTGTATCTGTACCACAGCGAGAGTCTGATTTCGCACTGAAGATAATGAAACATTTACTGTGGAGGTGCTTAGGTTTTGGTAAAAGCTACATACAGGTACAATGTAAGGTAACATTACTGGGACTGGTCATATCAAACTGAAAATCAAATCAGTAAGAAAATTGTAGTCTGATAAAAAAAAAAAAAGTGTGTCGTGTTGTGATGTTTCTGCTTATAGACCCATTTGCAATGACAATGGGTTTTACGTCAAGTTTCTGGTCTGTAATCATTTACCTTCTGTTTTGAGAACCATGTGAAATGGACAAAAAAAAAAAGAAGTCTGCCTGCCCTGGACAGTGTGACAGCTGCTTTCAGAGCCACCCAACAGCAACATCTCAGTATGTTTTGAGTTTAAATAGAAAATAAAAAATGTTCATGCTTTAGAGTTGTGCATTTACGAAGAGGAAACCCTATATTTGCATTTCACCTTGACCATACTTGATAAAAGCATTAGTGACATCTTACATGCAAGTCACAACTGAACATTTATCCTACCTAGGAAGAGAGACGTATATCTATTCCGTATATCTATTCCGCCTAAAAATACCGAAAAATGGTTTGTGGTCCATATTGCTCAGGCCTAATCCAAACATCTTACAAAGAGCCAGAAAGCTGTAATATATACAATGTGTATGTATTATACGTTACACATCGTGATAAAGTACACACACCTAATCAAGTCTGGGTTCACCAGTGGCCATCCCATCCCCAGACTACAATTCCAAGCAACTCCAGTCATGAAGTTTCTACTAAAATATTATAAAATAGACACAGACCCAACTCACCATTACAGACATCCACAAAACCCACAGAGACTCGGTTGGGTGAAGACTAGGACGGTGGATATTTTTCTAAATTTACACTGGCCATTTCTCACACACTCCTCCCAATCACACCATGTGGTAAGATTTGTATCACTGCATTAAACCATCATACACACCATGCCACGATTATTGTACATGCAGCACATCCTGTTCTCATTTATACACGACTTTCAGAATCACTCAGCATAGCATTTAAATACCACCAAGATGCTTTTTCCGGTCAGAGTCCTGTGTAACTATGAGCAGCAGGTCCTGCCTCAGGGCACAGACCACTCTGCCTTCTCATAACCAGGCAGTATGTCGGAGCAGACCTACTGAGTCGAGTTGAATGGAGATTCAAAGGTCCTTCGGATGCAAGTTCTTGGATTACCAGCATCTAGTTCCTGCCTCAGGTCAGGTGAAATCCCCCTTGGTAATTCTTGGCAGGGGGGGGGTTTTCCTCTTTGGTTGAAGATCGTTGATCGTCCAACGCAGTCTCCTCCATTTGAGTAGCCGTCTTAAGCGTTGGTGCTGCCAACTTTAAATACTGATAAACCTTAAATACTGGCATGTTAACCAATCCCGTGCATCTCTACTTCATGTTTCACCGTGTAACTCCTATATGTAATACACAATAAGGTGCAATAACAGAAAATTGAGTGTGGGGGGGTAATTTTACCCAGGACCATGTACTCCTGCTGAATGGGGGAAAAAAAGAAATGGGGGGGCGCATACCCACAGTAATGAGAAACCCAGAGTTTAAACAGGAAAGATGAGTTGGGTATATAGCAGAAACCAGCAGGACTCCAAGCAGACAGCAAGTGATACAGCAAAGGACGGCTGCAGCTCTCATTCAAATGGCCGAGTTCACTGGCTAATGAGGGGGGAGCGTGTCATGCCAGTTTGCCCACATCCAATACAGTGAAGTAACACTGGACTAAGTGGAATTCACATATACTTTTAATGGAGACAATCAAGAACCAGGCCTCAGGGCCTGTCGCCAAAGACACAAACTTTAAAAGGTGACGCTGCAGCACAAAACAAGATTAAAAAAAGGGTTTTGGTCAAGGGCTAAATTCAACCTGCATCTCCAGACAGGAAGCACAGAAGATAAAGGCACAATGTTTGAGGCTTTAAGCAAAGCTCAGAGGTCTGGCTACCAACAGGGTCAGTTGAATGACAAACTGTTAAGCACCTGTGAGAAAGTTTGGCCACTTTGTTTCTTTGAATGACTAAACCTAACTGATACAAAGTGAATCACCATCAAATCTTAGCATATACATACACACACCACTTAACAGTACAGAACTTCATGAATGGGGAAAATATATACACAGCTTTAATGAAATTACTTACTCAAAAGGCATTTACCAGGAGTAAAAGTCTGAATTTCAAACAAGTACCCTGACCCATCATTGTTTAGATATTGCAAGTTGCCCCCCTCCCCAGAAGTAGAAAGCAGATGAGAACACAGTATGGCCTGCCAGGAAATAAAAGTTCTTAAGCAGCAGCTCACTTCTGAGAAAACCCACTAGCTAATGTGCAAAAAAGGGGGGGGGGGTGAACTGTAGGTATTGGCAGCCTGCACATCAGAGTCCATACAGCTTTAGATTCTGACTAACAGGAATTAACACTACACCCAGAGTCCTCAAGTGATGGATGGGCCTTCATGTCCAAGCGGTCACACCCACAAGCAGGAAAAGGAACAACGGCAAAGTCCTCGTTACATGTGGGGCATGAGTCGGGGGTGGAGCTTAACTGGTTAGATGACTCACCAGTCCTGGGTGCAAAGCCTGTTTAAAAACCTCTGATCTGTGAAGGGGGGGCATGTAAAGGGCAGGGGCACCAGGATGGGTTGGTCCGGGGTAACCCTGGCCGGGGAGGGCCGTGCCCCCCATGTGGGGCACCTGCACGCTCTGCTCGAAGTACTGGCCTTCAGCACACTCATCATCGAAGGGCAACGCCAGTCGTTTCCCCTTCTGCCGGCGATTGCAGAACCAGACGCGCACCACCTGTGAAGAGCAGTACAGGTCCGTTAAACACCCAAGCTACAGGCACAGAGGAACTTCTCAGCTGCTCCTAGGAGTGTTAGAGAATCTTCCCCCTCCTGAATGCTCAGACACCAAACCATGCATGAAACAGTGAGGACTATTCCACTATTAAATCAGATTTGACAAACAGCCTGTCTGTCCACCTCGGTTCAGCTAAAAGATTTCAAGAGCACTGGAGCAAAAATCCATGCGTCACAAATACAGGAAACCGAATCCATCCAGCTGCACCACTAACCCTGCCATGTTCTTGGGCAGCACTGGCGTACAACAATGCCATACCCTGACCATGCCAGTCACCACAGGCTACCAAGACAACTCACGTCTCTCTCCAGACCCAGATCGTCAGAGATGTGCGTGATCTCCTGCGTGTTGGGCTTGGGACACTTGATGAAGTAGGACTCGAGCGCACTGCGTACGGTGCCCTCCAGGCTGGTCCGCCTCTTCCGCTTCCTCGTGTCCACGAACACGCGCTCAATTTTGTACATCTGGGGTGGGGTGGGGGAGGTGGCAGAGGACTCAGCATGGTAAAGCCTACATTTTCAGTTTGAATAAGCAGGTCCACCTGAACTCTGGTAGCTCAGCCTCAGGGCGTTAATTAGCTTCCGGTCACCATATAAGCATTATCACCTGCACTACATCTTTTGGCCACAAGAGGGCACCGCAAATGCTTTCCTGTACAGTACATGCGTCCGGGCGCTCACTCACATCCTGGGGGTTGTCCGATGCCTCTGCCTCGTTTAGCCACCTCTGCAGCAGAGGTTTCAGCTTGCACATGTTTTTGAAGCTCAGTTGCAAGGCCTCGAAGCGACAGATTGTGGTTTGGCTGAACATCTTCCCTGTGCACAGAACACACAGGTCAAACCATCTCTGCAAACACTTTTGGACAGAAGCCCCAAGTGTGCAAAACCAAAGCCTAAAGGCTTAAAATCACGAACCTGGAAAAACCCAATTCCTGCATAGCACAGCACACAAAGCAGACTAGGCTTGCTTTAACTGCGACAGCAGCCAAACGTTGCAACTCTCGAGAACAGTGTTACCATATTTTTACACCATTGCTGCAAAGTGCATTGATGTTAATATTTAAGCACCGCAATGCAATAGTGCATCACTTAGCAGTCTTAGCTTATAAGGCGACGGGGACAACCGTCCGGACGGCCGCGCTGACTTACCGTAGAGGTTCCCAAGGGCCAGGCCCACGTCCGCCTGGGTGAAGCCCAGCGTGATGCGCTTATGCTTCAGCTCCTTAGCAAACTGCTCCAGCTCCTCCGTGGAGAGGTTCTCCTGTAGCGCACAACGAGGAAAATTAGTTGCACATGGCGTTCACTCATACCTCAATCAATGCCGCACGCAGGTATTTCTCCTTACCTCTTCCTCGGAATCACTGCACCCGCCGCTCGAAGAACCGCTGCTACGCGCGTTGGAGCTCGGAAGCGGAGGAGTGGGCATGGCTTGGGTAGACCCCCCACCGTAAAAGCCAGCCCCGGCATAGCTGGTGTCGGTGGGCGATGGCGAGAGGGAGGGCGAAGATGATGCGGGTGCGGCGGCGGGAGCCGAGTTACTAGCAGCCGCGATGTGAGTCAGGCCAGGCCAGAAAGACGGGTTCCAGGCAGTGGAATAATACATACCAGGGGCCACGGTGGAGGCTGATGAAGGGTAAAACTGGGGCTGGACCTTCGTCTCGGTCCCGTACTCCCCGATTTCCTTCTCAGTTTTTATTTCGGGCATTTTTATCTGCTCCCTCGTCTCGGCGATCGGAGGACTTAAGTTTGCGGGCTGAGTGGCATTGGTGGCTCCAGCTACCTGGCCCGTGTACTCCGGCGGGGCGAAGGGGTACCAAGGCCTGGGTTGGCCCAGGTCGGCCGCCTGCACCTCCGAATGCCTGTATTCGCCCCCGACAGCCGAAAAGGGAAAAAATGCTTGCGGTGGCGTTATCCCATTGTACGACGCCTTGTTGAACAGTATGCTTGGGTCCTGCAGCATACCATGAGAAAACTGTAGGGCGGCGCCACCGAGCCCTTCCTGCCCCAAGACCTGGGGGTACATGGCCCTGCCGGGCTCATACGACCGATTTGTGCATTCCGAGTTAGGACTCTGTGACCGATCTGACATGATAAAATTCAGAACAAAAGCTCTCAAACTACTAAAAACTGCTAAAAACCAGTCGGTTATGGGTGTCAACTACTCCATCAGCGTGCTAGAATTAAAACCCGCGAAGAGCAAGCGACGCGCAATTAATATAACTTGCGTGCTAAATTGGCTCCGGATTCCGTAATTGGAAAAAAGACCTTCAGAGGCGTCAAAATCAGTCCAGAACCTGCCTTGTCACCTATCCCGTCTTGACAAAACGCAGTTGTGGGGAAAAAATACGAGCAGTTATCGACTCGGTGTGAGATGATCATCAGTTTAATCCATTGCAGTGAACACGCTACCCAGCACGCTCGGAAAACTTAAGCCATGAATTACTCGGCGTTGCTTAATCAATTGGTGCGAAAGGCCGGCATGTAAACGATCCGCGTCCCCATTGGCCAGCGAGTACAATGGGACGCAGCTGACGGTGAATTTGTGAATGAACTTGATTCTTACCATGGGCGTGGATAAGTTACAGGACGCCGGCTGTTTGTTTACAGCCTCGGCCTTATTTCAATGGGGGGCGATGTTATTACCCGCGGCGCTGAGTTTATGTGTTTTGGCTGATATGGCTAAAATTGTTAAAAGTGTTAATTTCTCAGATCATCCACACATGCAGCCTCGCCAGTAAAAAAAAATAAATCATGACAATGCGTCCAATGCGTGTAGCTGGTTCTCCTATAATACAACCTGTGTTGATCTGTGCATTATATTTACATTGCTAAATAGGGTAGTTGAAAATACATGGAAGAGCAGTAGCTCCCATTTAATATGCAAAGACAATTACGGCCGGTTTGTTGGAATAATTCATTTTCAAAGACCCGTCCTTTATATTAAAATCCAATGTGATTTACATAAACAACAACAAAAAACATCTGGATATGTATGAAATTACAGCATCTCAATTGCAAATTTAATTGGGCATAAAAGTAAAAACGGAGTGGGTCTTTTTATTTGAGATTCACGTTGGAATACACAAATTAAATTATATTCTTTATGGAAATTGCACTAATAATTAATATTCTGATTTGCTGTTAGCATGACTCATTCACAGGACGATGACATCAATAAATACCGTTGTAGACTGGCTTCCTGATATTAAGTTCTGCATTTACTGAAACTATCAGCACCTTCTAATTTATTTCTTTTTGTAAGAGAAATAAAATAAATGTCAAAAACAAACAGTTTAAGAATAAGGAACATTCAATGTTCCTTATTCCTCGAATAAATGTGTGACTGAATGCAGACGAAACTGAATTTAAGTTAAAATGGTTTTCAGAAAAATAGATTTAATCCCGCACTTAACCTCGATCTTGCGAGCGGGTCTGCTATTGCATGTGTAACAGCTACATTGAAGAGCAGAGTAGAAGGTGATATGTTTGTCTTGGACTCAGCAAACGTGAGCAAAACCCGAAAATAATTACGTTACAGTAATGTGTCGGGGTCCCCGATAGCCAGACGACAGAGAATTTCTCCAACAACTTGAAAGTCGGACCTGATTGCGTTGTCTTTACACAGACCGTGTTTCATAGAGGTGAGTGCCAAGGAACCAGCGGGGGACAACCCAGGAAATAAACTGTAATATCAGATAATCCCACAATATAGCCTCTAAAACATATCTTGGAGATATTGAGAAAATAGGCAATGGTTTAAAATCATGTGCAATATTATTTAGCACTATATATATGATTTACGATCAGGCTCTTCGTCAACAGAATTTTAAATAATTCCGATACGCTCTGTAATGCAGCTTTATAACATGGTATTTTAAGATCTCCTGGCCGTGCTGTGTAAGTACATCTGCGCGCCCCCGCGCACGCGGCGCTCGTCGCAGATTGCGGCAGGAAGACGCGCGGCGGGGGGGGGGGTGCCGACCCATTGTGTTTCTGCGCCCCGGGGCGCCCTGCAGCTCCGAGAGCCCTAGTTGCGATGGTCGGCCATTAGCGGCTTTTCAGGATCGAACAATGAGTCGCAACCCTTTGATTGCAACCCCCCCCACACCCCCGACAAAGTGAAACATTTTTTTTTCCCGAAATACCGGCATTCTCACCACCGTTTTGTACTCTCAAGAAACTGCATTTTCTGCATTAGCAGCAAAACTCGAGAGCGTTAATGTTATCGTTGTTTTCTAAGAAAATATTGGAAACTGTGGTGCATTTGATGCGAACGCATAACCCAATGGCAATATTTCTATCCGTAAATGATACGTGATGTGTCCTGATTTTGTTTCATGTAATACCATCTACAAAAGCAACACAGTCACACACAAGGCCACTTGAAAACAATCTACCCCCTGCCACCTAGGACACTTGGCGAACCCGGTGCAAATTAAGGTGGCCCGCTTGCACCATTTCTCCCCCAGTTACAAAGCCAGTAGTGGACCCAGGAGGCCAGAAAAGTCTGTGAAAGGCTTTAAAGACATCAAACCTGGAGACCGGGGGATTGTGCTGTGCTGTGGACTTGGGGATTGTCATGCAAAGCAATGGGACTTGGGGTAGAAAGTGTACAGTTGGGTTTCAGAAGGAACCGAGTGCAAGGCTTCAAGGGAGACGTGGGGGGGGGTGGACTTAGAAGATTAGCCCCAAAAAAGCCAGATGTCTTTAGATCTTGTCTCTGGAGCACACCCCTGCTTTCTCCTTTTATCTAACTGTATCTTCTCCATGGTGTAAGAAAGCCCCCCCTCCTCAAAACTACCACCACTACCTTAGTCCAGCATGTTGGATTAGACAATCCTGCCTTTACCACAGAAGTCAGAGCCGTAGCACTAATCATGCGTCCACCTGCTCAGTTAGCAGCAGGAGGTCCCATCTGCTCCAGCTTGCTCACAATCTATCAAACTGTTCTCAGATCAGCGTGAGGGTAGCTCCCGCCAGCTGGGTGGTGCCACAGACAGGCGGCAGAGCTTCGCCTACGCATCGCAGGTGAGGTTTGAGAGCAGAATTTGCAGTCTCACGCAACGTCCTTCAGACTGAAGTAGTGAGCAAGATGGATGTGCAGCTGGTTGTAGCATGAAAAGAATCGCTTCATTCCCTAGATGAAGCCTCCAGACCGGAGAAAGATGATAAAAAATGTATTTGCAGGTCGGTTCCCTGTTAGGTTGCCCATAAACTTGAGAAAATGGCTACTCATAGCATGGAATTGGGGAACAAGGGTGTAAATATTAATTTATGAATCCATTAAATGTGAATGTAAGAGTGAGCTTGACTGATGAGAGTAATCACTGAGATTGTAAAGAAAGGAGATACTTCCTCCTAGTAGATATGTTACAGAAACTTTGAAATGATTTGGATTATTCCAGTATTGTTGGGGGTCTATATGTGTTTTGATGGGTGCAGGGTGAACTGCCGGGTCACATGACCCGTAGCCAATAAAAAGGCTAGACACATAGACACTAGTGAGCAATAACCTAGCTTTCCAAACCCCACCCATGGCCACAGACAACCCGCAAAGGTCATAAACTGACCCGGGATGGCGACCTACAGGGAATCTTTTACGGGGTCTAGAGAAAAGCTTATAATTCTGAACAGGAGAGCTGTACTGACAATGACTGGGATGATATGGATTTTTTAAATGTAATTATTTAGCAATAGGTATGTTCATCTAGTGATGACAAATGAGTCTGTAAACCCACACTGTGTTACAGTTACCGTGCGCCGTCAGAAAACCAGTTGGTTTAACCCACTTTCTTGGGTTTATTTTATTGGTTCCATTGGGTTGAAGCATGCAATGAGTGAAAGGATCCACACACCTACCAGGCCAGAAATTAATGTCATGGGCTGTCCGGCAACCCTGCCGTCCGGGGAGGGATTCAGACAAACTTTGGGGGTGGGGTTCCAACCCGACTGACACTGAGTGGGAATCACAATCTAATTCCTCCCATCAAACAAAAGAAATTATACAAGACAAAGTGCATGCGCTGAGCAGAACAGGTTGTGGGATAAATAATCAGTCCCAAAAACACGATTCTAAAAGTGTGAATTAAGAACAATATGCATTAATTCTTTACTTTATGTCATGGACCACAAATCCAGGGAGCTGCTGGAGTTTAAGTCCAGCTTTGTTAAGGATACAATGATGAAGAATCATCATTACCAATAAATGATTTAATGCAAACCTTTTCTTAATAAAAGCCTGAATTATATACATGTTTTTAAAGCTAAAATGTGATTTTTAGATGAGGCAAATGGTATTGGTTACTCAGTGAGTGTTGTTATTTGATATCTACTAAGCTGTATTTTTAGACTGTATTTTTAATGTCATGTCATCAGCAACATTAGCCGAATCTTGACATGCTTAACATACGCAAAAACGTGTTTTGTGAGGTGAGTAGAAGGATTTTTCCGAGTTTTTCAAAGGCAAACAGGCAGGTGGACATGACATTATCCCATTGTGCTTTACACCCATACAGTACCAGTCAAAAGTTTAGACACACCTACCCATAGAAACATTCATTTGTACTATTCTCTACATTCTAGAATAAAGACATCTAAACTATAAAATAACACATATGTAAATTATGCGCTGACCAAAAAAGTATTTAAAAAATTATAATTTGATGGGGTGAGAGGGTAGCTCTATGGGTTGGGACTCAGAAGGTTGCTGGTTGAAATCCCATTATCAGCAGAGTGATACTACCATCTCCGCTACTCCAGTTCCATGAGGTGGCCTCCTGGGATGCTTTTCCAGCTGTCCTGAAGGAGGTCCCACGTATATGAAGAGCACTTCACTCTCTGGTCAAACTCCTCCAAAACCACCTCTGCTGGGTTTAGGTCAGGTGAGCAGGTCATGTGATGTGACCTTTGTAGACAGCTTGGTGTGTCCAAACTTTTGACTGGTACTGTACATCTTCCAACCTCCAGAGTCTGTCCTGGACAGCAGAGGGCATCAGGCAGAAGAACACCCCCAGGCAAGATGCCAGTCCATTGAAGGGCATCCATATCACACAAGATTAGCAATTTAGAGAACAATTCCCTTAACCGAATATCTTTGGAATACCACAAGGAATCTACACATCACAAGCAGAACAAGCAGAGTCCACACTAGTGGCACTAGATTTGCTGTTGTTAGGTCATGAACAATTAAAATGTCTCCTCTGCTTTTTACACAGAGATCATTAGTATCGCACTACAGTGAACATTCTGTCAGTTGCATTTCTATGGCTCATTAACCTGAAGTTGTTTTGTCAACCAAATCTTTTTCGACACCAATAAACCAATAACAGCTAACAGTAGGTAGTGCCCTGGATTTCTCCTTCTCTCCCTTTCACGCCCTCGTCCAAACACGCAACACGTTCTCTGTTAGGTGACATAGTGGCATGGATAACATAGAGTAGCTGGTCCCTAAAAATAATTCAGCCTCGGTATTTATGGAATTTGTTTGGATTTTCCAAAACCGACCAGATGCAAACATCAGTTATTTGCTAAATTTGTATTAGATAAGGTTTGTATGTTGGATGGCAGCATGATGAACCTTTTTCACCACCTCAAAAAAAAGTGTTTGCGGACCATGTTTGTCTTTTAGGTTTTGTTGCGTTATAGAGCTGTATTTTTTAAAGTAGGAGAATTAGTTTGGTTGTACTGTTCAGTAACTTGCAAAACCAGCATGAAAAACAACCTTTATAAGATGGTGGATTATGATGTTGCCTGAAAAAATATTGTGATATTATTGCTATATCACCCACCCCTAATCCCCAGACACACAGCAGGATGGGGTTTGAATCCCCAAACATGTGACCCAACCACTGAGTGATTCCCACTGACACGCCGCAGTTTCCTGCACTGTCAGACAGTGGAGTGCAGTGACCTGTTAGGTGATGAGAATAAATAATCCCTCCATCGTCCAGCACCTCCTTATCCAGCAGAATGCTGTTCACTGTGGCGGGTGGATCATTCCGAGCAGTGGCAGCTGCACTAAAGATAGAGATGATACTTCCATGTCGGTCCACCTTCATAGTCCAGACACCATGAGACATCCACCTTTTGCCACAGGGCCCCACCCACCCCAGCCCGTCCCAAGGCCCAGGCTGGTACGAGCCCCCCACCTCAACTCACCACTGGGCGGGGGGGAGGTTAGAATGAATGACAGGGGGCCCTAATATATTTGAAGCATAGCTGGATTGGTCTGGATCGGAGGCCCAAAGTCACCCCCAGCCACCATGTTAGCTGGTGTGAGATAAACATCTCGGACTACAACCAGGCCCCAGACTGGAGCCACACTTGTGCCTTTTTTATGTTTCATGGTTGTTTCTTGGCTAATATTTACCGCAGTACTTTCTAGGCCAGAAAGGCTTGTTTTCTGTCCTAAATTGTGATTCTGATAAAACAACGTACCACGCGTGTTTTTTTTTTTTAGACTGTGATTGCTCTGCAGCCCAGTACCTGGCTTAGGAGACTCCACTCCTGTATGAGCCTCTTCCCCCAGACCAAAGGCAACGTGAGGCCCAGGCTGCTTGTTTGCTGCTGAATATGGGCCTCCAGACTCTCCCTGTCTGACTCACAATACTTCCGTGTTTAACTTCTGCATCACTACAGCCCTGCGCCTGAAAGACGGACTGACATTTACCCATACGCTCACGTGTAACCCCTCCCTTTGTGCTGAATAAAGATACAGCTATAACATTGTATTGTTGTATAAATGCTTTAATTCGTTTTAAACTGGAATATTCACATGCAGGTCAAACCGTCACAGTAAAAAGAGGCTCCAAGCTTTGGTGTTCAGGGCCTCGTTGGGAGCCATGCACAGCGCGTCTGTCCTGAGGGGCACAACTTGGTTACTATGGTGCACGATGGGATGTCAGGTGTTGGGTCAGGGCCCGAATATGGTCCTGGGCAAGTTTGAGGCCCGCTGTAAAGCTGTTGCTCCTCCCAATCCGTATGCTGGGGCACACATGCCCCCCCCCCCCAGCCCGAAGTGAGCTGGTGAGGTTCTGACGCTTGGGGCTCAACACCAACGGCAGCTGTCTGCCTTAATCAATAGGCTGACGGCCACTTTCCTCCCACCATCCAGCAGGACAAAGGCTTTAACGGCCCAGCTTGGTCTCCATTGTGACACCACCCCCCACCCCACCCCCACCCCTCCACCGCTAACTCACCTTATGCAGCCAATACAGAACTGTTAAATGGCCCATAGCAGGTCGGGGGGGGGGGGGGGGACCAGTGGGAGGTCCTTTTTTAAACAAAATTAAATAAAATAAATGATTTTGGGCTGGGGGAGGCAGAAAAAGGAATTTGATGCACATACTTTAAGATAACCAGCGTGATTATCAATCCACCCCCAAGAAACAGAAATTACATACAGACAGGCAGAGACACTTTTTAAAGATCAATTTGGCTCCATTGACATGTTGGGTAACTTTTGATGCGCAATTTCCAGAGTACAGGTTTCTACAAAGGAACCTTTTAAAAGCAATAATTCTAGGGAAAAAAGTAGTGATAAAGACAAACAACCCGGCCGGTCTCACAACTGATTTGTTAAGCATGAAAATTCAACAGCATTGCAATTCACAAAGAAAGAACAGCATTCCAGGTCTGTGCTATTAAAAATATAAAGAGTTCAGAATCCATCTTGGAGGACTGGAGAGTGAGACGCCAGAGACCTGACAGGATGTGGTTTACAGAATTCACACCAGGAAATAAGCCACTGGAAGGACTTTCATAGATGTTCTCGTGAACAGTGTGTAGATAATGGTATGAGGCATCTAATCTTCTGGTATTGGGTGGGGGGAGAACTGAGCTGGAGTCCCACCTGTCGCCCCCCAGGATTGGGAAAGGACCACTAATGTTTGCAGGTGAAAAGCTTCCGCCATGACCACAACTCACTGTGCCATTGTAGCCAGTTCATGGTTCGTACATCACCAGCACAGAAACCCAGCCTAGCACCGCCCACCTTTACGGCGCAGGTCAAACTCCCATTCGCTACGCTACCTGTACGTCAAGGCTGCAGTCCTATCAAATACAGCCGACACAAGTTGGTGATAAAAGTATCAGGATTACGTCGATCGCAGCTGTGCACTGCTCATGAGGAGCCCCTGTACACATTTACATTGTTATTAAAATCAGGACGTAATACTTTTATTTATTAAATTATATCGTGCCTTAAAGTGCAGGAACAGCCAGACTGATGCTCACCTGTTCATATTACTAATGTATGGGTGGGGGGGTGGAATTATCGGTCAGCTTTTAGGGTGCAGCACAGGAAAGGCTGAAGCTTGTGCTGAATCTGCCCTAGAGATCATAAACAAAACAAAATAAAAAATAAAATAGAAGCTTTTCACAGCACCCTGTCACCCTGTGAGGCTCCATGAGAATCTAACCCATTAATCAAATCTCTTTAAGTCTAATTTGCAGCAAAAAAATATTTATTTACTTTAATGTATTTTCCCATCATATTTTCAGCAGGTTGGGGGGGAAACGTGTCCCCGGCTTCTATAAATCTGGTCCAGGAAAGCAGCTTAAATATCCGAGTTTTACAGATTAATAAGGATGTGGATCAGCTATGAGGATTTAAAGGGCAATGTCATTATTGTCAGAAAAAAAAACCCTTAACAGGACCTATACCAGATCAGGGGCATAGATAAAAGGGAGAAACAAAAGGGGGGGGGTCACCTTTGGGTGCTGGTCACATCTGCATTTCACTGGGGTCAAACATTCCTTAGCCAGGTTTCCCCTGATTGACCAGTTTCTGGTATGGTGGTTTTGTCTCTCATGGGGCGGGGGGGGGGATGGAATATACACATCCTTGCCTCTCAAAGGGTGTGTCAGTGTGTAGGAAGAGGATGATTGGGGAGGGGGGGGCAGGTGGTAATACATGAAACCGACATTTAGCAATTAACGTGTGAGGGCGGAGACACTGGGAAGGTTCCTGCTCGACAGGTCGGCGACGGTGCTGTTGATATACATATTAAAATAATGCAACGTTTACAGGCTAAGAGCAAGGAGAGGTGGACAAAAGCAACATCAGCTAGCTGACTGTTTAAATACAAAAAAAGATTAACAATCAGGATTCTAATAAAACCTAAGAGAGGTAATATCATGTAGATATGGGGGGGGGATACAAAGCCTGAAGTTAATCAGCAGATAGACAGAAATTAAACTAAAGACTGTGTTGATACATCAGATGCCTGGCAATGACCAGTGTCAGAGAAAAGATTGTCCAATCAGCTGCTTGATTTGTGTGGCAGTTCTACAGAATGGCCACAGAGGGCAGCATGTCCCCTGCTTGCTCCTCCTCGTTTACACTTCTTTTGTTGGCATTCCTCTGTCCGTTTTCATAGGCTGGTATGACGGGGTATTTGGTAGGCATCACAGGAGTAGGAAAGTGTGTGTGTGTGTGTGTGTGTGTGTGTAGTTTACAGGTTTACTTGTGTCTCCGCTGGGGATTCACACCGTAGTCGTCAAACAGGGGATTCTTCACCTCCATCTCCCCAGTCTAGAAAGAACAGGAAGAGAGCATTTCTAGTTTAATTCAAGCACAGGAGGAGCTCCTGCACTAACAGACCCCTTAGATGGTTCTCCTCTCGACGGTGGTTCTCACTCACGGGAGCTAATCCGGGACACTCGTATACTGTGAAATCGCCGTCTTCGTTTTCCTCATCAGACGTGGTCCCTGAGTCTGGAATCTTGGTCTCGTCTTTGTGCCTAGGAGCGCGAGGAGAATTGGATCCATTATTGAAACTCTTTGGGTGGGGGCAGGGCATGGAGACAGGCAGAGGAACAGTAAAGGTTGTAGGTTCAAATCCCCGGGAGCACAGATAAAATTACTGTAAGCCGCTTTGGATAAAAGTGTCAGTGCAGAAATGTAAACGGGGCCCATGTGGTCCCAGGAAGGCTGTTCGGAAGGGTGCCGCTGGGGAACGGGGCGCTCACTTGTCCATCGACAGCATCTGCTGCTTCTGATGCTGGTAGTGGTACATCTGAGCGCTCTGAGCCAGGTTCTTATCCCCGGGCTGTGGGGAGACGGAGAAAAGCAGAAGCGTTTCAATGCCAGGTATATATATAAAAATACACTTAAAAATAGACTCAGACCCAAATACAGCAGGTGAAATCCCTGCAGCAGAAATTCCGTTGGACTCAAAACTATGATGCAAATACATCCAGTGGTAAAAAGGAGAAAAACTGGGTCACACAAATGCATGGTTAACAAATTCCTGGTTAACTCACCAAGGTTCCATCGGAGTGGTTGGGCCCCATCATGCCGTAAGCCGGATAGTCCACTTTCTGGGCCAGTCGCAAGCCCCTCTGGAGACTGAAGGGGGCGACACCACAGTCAGCTCCCCCATAGTGAATATCGCTGCACAAATCCAGGACAGGCAATCCGCAGGTTTCCCTGGCCTGACTGTCCTTTGTGAGGTTTTAGCATCGAAAACTTAATTGCAAACAGAATTGGGGAAATTCTCACTTATATGCTGATTTTTTGAGAGGCAATGTTTTACAGAACATTTACAAGGAACGGCAGTGCTGTCCTAAACTGAAATGCTTCCCTGTGTTATACTTGAACCAGGCATCAGTTCTGGAATGATGTCATTATGTTGCGGCACTGGGAGTGAAGCAGTTCGCTTTAATGCTTTTGATTCAGCAGGGACTCTCAACTTTCCTCAGTCATCCATAACTGAACCGGAGGGTTGTTGAGACGAGGCCCACGTTCACTTACCGGACCAAACAGACAGCCGCGAGGATCAAGGCCACGGTTCCGAAGATGATGCAGACGGAGATCATGACTGTGGTACACAGGAAAGACGCCGTTAGGATGGAGAAATGCTCACAAAGTTCAACCACCTGAAAGTGGAAGTACTGGGCGTGGACAGTTTCACCCTACGGAGCAGCCAGAGTGTGAGGGTTTGTGGGAGATTCAGGTGCCCATTCCAAAGAACCACAGTCAACTGGGCCCGAAAAACAGAACAAATGGAGTAAAAAAAAAAAAAAAAAAGTAAAACAAAGGGAAAAGCGGAAGAGGACAGATGAAGGGAAGTGAGCTTGCGGCAGCACGGTGAGGTGCCCGACAGCCACATTGGTGGCAGACCACTTCCTGCCGTTGGGGCACAGATACTCGTTAATGTCACACCCCGCCGCTTATTGACAGTGCAGCATGTATGCGGACTTCCTTTAGTGGGGGAAGGGAGAGGAACCGGGTGAAGTTTCCTCATTGGCGGTTAGCTGCCTCGAGGTTGGTGTGGCGCCTGGGGCTTTGTCACATGAAATACGAGTTTCCATGGTGACCAGCCGGGAAAGAATGCTTTTCCCGGACACGATTCCGCATAGTCGAGTTCAGCTCTCCTTGCGTATTTTCACTCACCACATGACGAATGCGGAGCATTTTATTGGTCGCACATTCAGGTCACCAACAAAAATGCCGGCAACGTGAAAATACAAAGCCGCAAATTTGTGAGCCTCAGGTTAATCCAGGGGCACCAGCATAGATGACTTCAGGACCACAGGAAGAGCAGCCAGGCCCTGATTACCGCTCCAGTGCTTCGTAATAAGATTTCTGTTAAATGTCTTCAAACAAAGTTAAGGGCAAGGGTTAACACCACTTGACCTTTATTTTAAGAACAGGTGCATTGTGGGAATATTCCATTTTTCAGATTTCTACACTCATACACGCCCTCTGTGTCACACGCTCTCAGACGCTTACTGATCAGCAGCGTGTCCCGGGAGGGGTGAGGAGCGACCATGGGCCCGCCGGCCCTCGTCAAAGCGCGGGGGGTCGGGGCGTGGGGGGCGCTGGGCGTCATGGTTGAATTCTGGGCGGGTGTTGTCTCATGTAATGGAGACTTGCTTGATTTCACTTTAGTCTCTATAAGAGAAGGGTGGGGTGGTAGGGGGGTGTTAAAACATAAATAATACTATAGCAATGTTTAAAGATAAATATAAGGAGAGAAACTGCCAAAAAATGCAATCAATAACCATTGTCTAAAACAGTAATTAAACTAATGGAAGCCTGAGACTTTGATTCAGCATGCTGGGGAGGGGGACTGAGGGGGACGGGGACTGAGGGGGACGAGGAGGGAGACCGACCCAGTATGTTCAACTGCTGCTCCTTGGCAAGAATGGAGGACAGGGCATCGATCTCGTCATCCAGCTCAGGCTCGGCAGCCGGGTGAATGTCTTTGAGACAGAGAGAGGGAGGGAGAGAGACAGAGAGAGGGAGGGAGAGAGACAGAGAGAGGGAGGGAGAGAGACAGAGAGAGTTACGCACACACTCACTGCCATGTCTCCGTCTGTGTGTGCTGGCCCTTCATTGGTCCGTCGGGGCCCATGTTCACCCAAGGGTGACGTTGTATGTTCACCCTACGTTTGCTGACGTGCTGCGGGGAGAAGACGACGAGCCTCCGGGGACCCGGGGGGGGGGGATGTCTGTACCACCACCGGATCAGACAGGCCTTGCTGGATTCCAGGCTCTGGTAGCAGCCTCACCATGGCGACCGGGCCTGTAGTCTGTGTGTGGCCTCCTCAGGGGGCCCAACTATAGCCCCCACCTCCCTGCCCCCCTACTCTGCTCCCCCACCCCAACAGCACCTGAGAGACACTCACTATGGCAGGAATGTTCCTCTTAAAAGTCTCTAGAAAGAGGCAGGACATCAAGCGAAAAAAGGTACTGCAGCAACTCAAACAGCCCCCAGAGGTCAGGGTTATGGGGGGAGGGGGGGGGGTTAGGTGGTAACACACTGTCCAATCAGAAACAGGCACCAGCATCTCAGACCTCAGGCAGCCTGATGTTTAAGGAACAAGCAGCTCCAAATAGTACAGGATGTTGGACCTTTAACATCAGTCCCGTGCTTAAACCACAAAAGCTTCCCAACTATACAAATAGCTGAACGAGTATTGACTGCCGTAGATCACTGTGGACAAGGCACTTCTGTTAAACTGCAAACATCCACCCATCCATCAAAGTGCCTGTCCAGTGAGAGCTGGGGGGGGGGGGGGTTATTCCAGGCAGCACGGAGCCCCCGGCTGAGGGACTCCCTCGGCGGGACGCCGGTCCGTCAGAGCGCAGGCACACCATGGGCTGGCCATCTGCCTGCGGCCGGGGGGGGGCCTTCCCACCAGCCGACGGCACTTTCCCCTGCGCACTTTGTTTTGTCGTTCTGCCACACAACCCCCTCCCTCCCCCCCAAAATGAATCATTTACAGTGTCCCCAGCAGGCATGTGAAGGAGTGGGCGGCTGCATCATCTGTGCGTGATGGGGGGGGG